GAATTTTCCACCGACTGTACCAAAAACACATTTCTCCAGGTTGAACTTCAAGTTATTCTGTCGGGCTACGTTAAACACCTTCTGCAGACAAGCCATGTGGTCGATAGCCTTGACACTTTTTACCACTATGTCATCGACGGATGCTTTTATGACATTTCCAATCAATTCTTGAAAGACCCTATTCACCATCCTCTGGTAGGTTGCCCCTGCGTTTTTTAGGCCGAATGGCATGGCTGTGTAATAGTAAGTTCCAGAATCCGTGATAAATGATGTCTTTTCCTAGTCAAATTCAGCTTTAGAGATTTGATGATACCCGAAAATGCGTCCAGGAAGGGGAGCCTTTCATGACCAGATGTGGCGTTGACCAGGTGGTCTATCCGGGAGAATGGGTATGAGTCCTTTGGGCACGGTTTATTTAGCCCGGTGTAATCTACGCACACGCGCCATTTCCCGTTTGACTACTTTACTAGCATGATGTTGGCCAGCCATTCAGGGTACTGCACCTCCCGGATAAAACCAGCTTGTAATAGCTTTTACACCACTTTTGCTACTTTTTGCCTTTTGAGGGCGAGGTTCATTTTCTTCTGCTTCACTGGCTTGGCTCTGGGTAGGACACCGAGATGATGCTGAGCGATTGCTAGGCTGATCCCAGTAATATTGCTCAGGCTTCATGCGAAAACATCTAGGTTGTAGGCTAAGCACCTTACCAACTCCTCATTTTCGTCAGATTTCAACCCGACCTCGATGCTGAACTCCCGTCTTTCTAATACTAAGACCCTTTCAATCATATCAAGTGATTTAATCCGTCCTCTCGGAGGTTCGACCTCCAACATCATGATTGGTGGTGCTCCTTTAATTAATATACTATCGACATAACATTTTCTGGATGCTTGTTGATCCCCTCACACATACCTAACCCCCTACGCATTGGTAATTTCATGAACTATTGATAGGGTGAGAGGATGGCACCGGCTGCGTTTAGCAGTGGTTGACCGTAGATCGCATTGTAGGCCATGGGAGTTTTGAAAACTAAAAAAGCTTGCCACAATTACCACAGTAGTCGAATATGTGTCGAGCGTGACTAGAAGCTCCACGGTCCCTTACGAAATCACCGTAGCCCCTCCAAAGCCCTGTAAGGGAGTGGTCACCGTTTTTAACTTGTCTGGAGAGATATTCAGGCCCAACAAGGCATCCCATGTGAGTATATTTTTGGCGCTTCCCCCATCAACCAGTACCCTCTTGATGTTGAAATCTACTATATCGCCCACTATTACCAAAGCATCATCATGGGGATGTGTTACGCCTACCAAGTCTTTTTCGTCAAAAGTGATGTCCTGACTAAATCTCACTTTCTTTTGGATGGAACAGATTCCAAGAGAACGCGCATAGCTTTTCATGATCGAGTTTGAATCTCTGCCTCCTGCTATCCCCCTTGCAATCATGTTTATCACTCCGGCCTTGGGCAAGGGACAGTCCTCCACTTTTTGTTTACCCCGATTGTCCTTCACATGTTTGCTCAAGAGCTCTCGTCTCATAAGGCATTCGATCTCCTCCTTTAGCTGCAGGCATTCTTCAGTGTCGTGCCCGTGATCTTTGTGAAATGGCAGTATCTGCCCTGGTTTCTCTTGCCAGCTGGCGTTACCATGGGCCTTGGTCGTTCAAGCTCCTTCACGTTTCGTATCTCTATCAACAGCTTCGTGCATGGGGTATTTAAGGGTGTGAACGTCCTGGCCTCCTCCCGTTTCTGCCTGACTGGTCAATCTTGGGTGGCCCCATTACCCATTTGCTCACTTCTTGGCTTATTTTTGTTGGCAGACCTTACCTCATCTCCTGCCTTTCGCTTGTGACTCTCCATATCCCATCCTTCTCTGAGGTTTTTTGTGACTCTCTGCTTCCTCAGCATCAACATATTTGTCTCCTTTCTTTAATAGGTCGTGCATTGACTCTGGAGGGTTCTTAGAAAGTGACATTTTAAAGGCTCAATTTCGAGTTCTGTTCATCAACGCAGTCACCACTGCTGACATCTGAAGGTTCTCTATTCCTAGGGTCGCGCAGTTGAATCGGGCCAAGTATCCTTGCAAAGACTCATCCTTCTCCTGGACGACCTGCATCAGTCCAATGGCTGTCTTCCTTTTCCTCTTGCTATTGAGGAAGTAGGCCATAAAGCTCCTGAAAAGTTCATCAAACGTTCGGATAGATCAGGAGGCTAATGTTGCCACCAAATCTCTAGCTTCCCTCCTGAGGGTTGGGGAGAATGACCGACACATCACTTTATCGGGAGCTGCATAAAGCCTCATTTAATCAACGAAGGTCCGAAGATGGTCAAGCGAATCTGTGACCCTGTCGTAAGCTTAAAACATTGGCTGCTTGAAGCCCTTAGGTAGAGTGACCGCTATGATTTCAGGCGTGAACGGGTCCTCATCTAAAACCATCTGCCGACACTTGTTCTTTCTCCTGGATAATGTATCATCTATCTTTTGTGTCATGATCTCCTCTATCTTCACTCTAGATCTGCCATGGGTGGTAAGAACTGCACGATCGTCATCCCTGGAGCCCTCGAGCCTGCAGTCACCGGTTGGATAACAGGTAGTACTTCTACGTGCTCCTCTTGGGGTGGCGACGCGGCCTCCATTGAATGCGACGGTGGGAGGGTGGCTCTCTGTGTTTGATTCTACAAAAGGGTCATCATAGCTGCTAACTAGGTCTCAGGGTGCTGAACTGGCTTTGTGTCACATACTGCGGTGGCGATGGAAGATCGGGGCCCCTGGCGACTGATTCTGATTTCGTCTCTGCCGTTGCTGCCCTTAAGCGTGTATCACTTATTGTTCGTCTTCTTGAAATAGCTTTTGTGTTCAGTGGAAGTTTTTCCCACAGACGGCGCCAATGAAACGGCAGTGGAACAATACCTTCTTATCTACCTGGTAGTGTTTGGCATTCCTACTACTCCGTCGTACATGTGTAACATGAAAAATGGGGACAGGGCTTTCTCCTCCGTTTTACCTCCGACGCGATAGTCAGTTATGGTATTAGGAAAATAAGGACATAATTCAGATGGCTAAGAAAAATGCTCTCCCCTACCTGTGTCACCCTCAGGAGTATTTATAGATGTTGAAAGTTGAGCGAGTGTCGAACGATCGTGGTGCCACGTGTCCCACGTTGGCTTTTTCGCTATCCCCACGTTCTGAATAAGGGGTCTTTAACTTTCCACCTAGAGGTTGTGTCCATGATAACCGCTATTGTCAATTTATCAGAGATTTTATGGCTAAGTGTTGGGGTGGCCGCATAGGTAATTCCATGCCAGTCGATAACCTTGAGTAGAGGTAGAGCTCCCATGGAGGGTCGAAAGTCTCGCGTAGAGATAGAGCGTCCGTGTGGGGTCGACGGCCTCGCGTAGAGGTGGAGTGCCCCTAGAGGTTCGACAGTCTCACGTAGAGGTAGAGCACCCTCAAAAGGTCGATGGCCTCGCATAGAGGTAAAGCGCCCCCGAGGGGTCAACGACCTTGCATTGGCGTGTAGTGATCTACCTCGCTCATCATCAGAGGTGGTTTTCTATGCTAACTGATATCCATGCGCAATATAATTTGATTCAACCCTCAACATGAGATACAGTAGCAGTTGTCGCTGCTGAATTGAACTGCATAGAATAAAGGAGTTACACTGTGTTCTAGACTCACACTTCTCTCTGTTTTCTCTACTATGATACTGTGCCTTTGAAACATTACTTAAGTCGCAACTTGCAATCCTTCAAATGATCAAACTTATCGCTAATTAACTCTATATCATTCCCAAACAAGACTTCAGTTATTCCTTCCTACAATGGAATCTCACTCCTCTTGAAACTAAAATTAAAGTTATTTTAGATCTATATATATAATTATAATTAAACATACATAACTAATACTAACTTCTTCTTGTTTTTTTTTTTTCATTGTTTAGCTACAAATTAAAGTCATTTTCTTTTACTTTGCAAATAGATCGTTTTGTATTGTATATTTATGTCTCGGTTATATTTATTCTAATGCTAAAAATTTCAAATCGAAAAAAAAAAAAAAAAGTAGTAGAGAGGATCTCCTTCTATTAAAACTTCACAACTTTCAAAAGATCTACATAGGAGTCCACATTAAATATTGAATAATTTGCAAAATTGTTGAATTTATGATTAGCTAGCAAATTAATTAATGCATTAAAGAAAAATGTGACTTGTACATGAATAAACAATTAAAGATAAAATAATTAGTCAGATAAAATGATTGTTTTACACCTAACTCCAATTGTAAATCATCGAGATGTATGAGCATTGGTTTCCGTATCTTGATAAAAAATTAAGAGAGGTGCTGCCATTGACATAACAACTGATAGAACATAGGTAAACCTAACCCATTCCTCCTGTGAAAAATTGGTAATTTCGAATTTGAACTTAATTATTATTATATTCGTCGTTAGTTCAATTTATAGGAACCACTTTTATTATTGAAATCGCAAAATGATAACAATCTTGATGAACCTCTCCTAAAATGGCATTATCATCACTCAACTGTCACAATAGGGATTGAGAATTGAAAGCACGCACTAGTTATACTCGTCTAAATATTAGATGTTGTTAATGCTTTAGTATGCCTTAAAATCCTCCTCTTTGTCCATCATCGTCAACTATCAAATGTCTTGCGATGACAAAGTCTCCGATGCATAAAATCTTTCACTTTCCATGTGCCGAACCTTCGACTTCAGTGACAGAGTTTCCATCTCTCAATTAGATTTGTTGATCTCAAGGCTTTCTAGAAATAAATGATGTTAAAAAACATATTCACTCATTAGACTACTCACTTTTACTAAGGTTTTGAATGTTATTTGAGCCAAAGATCGTCGAAGGATCATTACTAATGTGTGGGGTGCTAGAAAGAATTGCGGGGTGATAGGGTCCACATCCTTACGACATCTATTAGGGGGTTTCACCTCGAGACTTGTAGTTTGATTCTTTACTCATTCCGTACTAAAAAGAATAGCAGGAAATCACTCGATAACACTTCTTCAATCCAATAGTATGTACACATGTCCTCAATGTTTTACATAAAGATCAAATCTATTAATAAAAACTAAAGCAATTTTTCGTGCCATTACATGAAATTGGATGATATTCAATGATTGGTGGATTTGCCAACTATTGAACCTTTATTGAACTACTTTTACACCCCATTTGTCACAGCCGCCGGCATATGGTAATCCCATCACCAAGAGGAACTTGAGATATTTGAACCCGAGCATCAGCTGCCAGCAATTTGTTAAACTTGATTGTAAAATTCCTCGACGCAGAATTAAACTCCGGAACTGCATCATCAGGCATTGCTACTGTTCCACCCCAGAGTGTGTTATCATAGACAACTATCCCACCAGGCCTCAAAAGTTTCAACAATCTCCCGTGGTAATTTGCATAGTTAATTTTGTCAGCATCAACAAAAGCAAAGTCGAAACTTCCTTGATTCGCAGGCTGCATCAGAAAAGTAGATGAGAAAGAAATAAGCTTACATGGAGATGACCATACTATTTTCATATTTATGTTGTCTCTGGAGGGGAGCTGTAGGTGATAAGTTACTTTTTCTTACTTCTAAGCAAAAAAGTCATCTTGAAAGTAACTTTTGCCTAACCATCAAAATAATAAACATGTTTCCAATTTTCGTCTATAAAACATTATTAAAATAAAACTATTTACTTGCAAGAATACTTTTTAAGCGTAGCCAAACATGATCCAAAGTAGTTTGGATTTGAGAACAGGAAAAGGAGGACAATTCAAGGGAGCCTATTTCTCACATTTTCCAACAGTTTATCAAGAACCGGAAGAGCCTCAGACTCGATATAATTGATTTTGTGTTCGACCCCAGCCTTTTTAATAATTGGCAATCCCATCTCATATGAACTCCGGTCAAGGTCTATGGCTGTAATCTGCGGCAACACATTTTTTATTCGATGAACAGCTTGTTAGATAGATATGCTAGAAACTAAAAAGTGAAAATGAGGGTTGAAGAAGTAACATTTCCATCATCAGGAATAGTAAGGGCAGCTTGAAGCAGAGAATATCCTGTAAAAACTCCAATTTCAATAGTCCTCTTTGCATTAACTAGCTTTAAAAGCAAGCTCAAATGTTGACCTGCATCGGGAGCTGTAGCCATCATGGCCCTGGAATTATAAGGCTATAATTAATTTTTCTATAGAAAGAGTGAGCTACTGATAACATAACGAAATAATATTGAAAAAACAGTAGTCTTAAGACACCAGTACTACAGTTTCAATACTAGGCTGCTCGAGATTTAACATTTATCACATTGTTGTTCCTAGTATCTTCATTCTCAAGGGTTTATGCATGGTTACACCTACTGACTGATAAATGGAGTAAGGAAACATACAAAAGAAATACATCACAAGTGTACTGAAAGCAATAGAATCCGTTAAAGATAAAGGAATATGCTCGACTGATTATGGAGGCCGTGCCTTCTTAACTAAATAGGCGATAGTGACTCCATATCTATTTTTAATATGCATAACTCAAATAGTTTATGTTTCTTCAATCCACTCAGGCAGAACAACCAAATTCATTGATCATTTATCAAGAAATCAATAATTTTGGGCAGGCATAGATAGAAAGCATTTACCGCGGATGATGTGAAGTAACAGCCCTTAGCTCTCTGAGAGGCTCTGGTTCTCGTGGATACACGCTAGTGTCTAGTACATACTTCCTCACGGAAAAAAAACACAAAAGTAAATATGTTTTCACTTGAAAAACCGAAAGCGAAATATTTCTACCCAAAGTTTTTCCAAAAAAAAAAAAAATAATAATAATAATAAAAATAAAAATTACTTGATACAATTCAGCAGTCCGTAATAATCCTTTGCTAGTAATGTCATTGGCCTTCATTTTACCTTCCATCACCTTTTGAGAAAAATAAACGAAATCTTGAAATTACAGTAAAATGATACATCTTAGAATTTATATACAAAATATGACACCTGCCCCAAAGAAACTCATCCAAAATTTTCATCAGTCACTATTTCTCTTCACCTCTTATCATATTGGAAACAAAGAAAACTGATACTTGCCTTTTTTATGAAATATATAAAAAAATTAACCAGATCTGATGATTCTTAATTCTGCAAAATAATTCCCTCCAAATCAACTATGATAACCTCAAAACTAACAACACGGCGCATCTAAAACAGTAAAAATATATATGGGCTCAAAAATTTAACAACTGAAGTAGTAATCAAACAAGATAGTAAAAATGATCACAAATCAGTAATCCCATATATAAACAGGAAGAAAAACTCACACGATCAGCGGCTGAGAGAGAGAGAGAGAGATGTACCGTGTCGTCTATCAGTGAAGCGTGAGGAAGAGATGGTTGGAACCTACCAAGGCAGAAATCTTTCGCAGAACACTTTCCTTCACATTGAAACGAATTTAAAATTTTTTTAGCCGGAAAGATGAGACCGGACCGGACCAAAATCAGACCGCACCAGCATCTACAATTGTTTTTTGTCTTGGAATTAGAACTATATAGTTAAATTTTAATTTGATTTAATTTTTTTATATATATATAATTTGTTAATGAAATTATAATGTATTAAATTTACGTATACTTAGAATAATAGAGAGAGAGTTTTCATAATATAAAGTAGAGATAAAATAAGAAAATCGATGTAATAGTGAATACTTAAAATTATATTTTTGAAACATAAAAAATCATACTAAATCGTTCGATCTTGTTCCACTTTTATGATTCTCAAGATATTCAAGGTAATTATCCGGTGCTCACCCTTAACCATAGGCATGTTAGGAATGTGTTATATATAATTAAAATTAGTTATGAATAAGTTTTTACTTAAAACGGATTTACAATGATTTATAAATAGTTTTTTATAAAGAACATATATTTTTCAAATTATTAATATCATTTATTATAAGTAAAAAGAAATTTTATGATCATAAATACGTTTGATCAATGAAATAAATTTAGACATTTACTATGTATCAAATTTAAACTTGGTTTAGTTAAAAATTAGACTTATCGTATATTTTGATAAATCAGATATTTGATTGAAAAGTTGATAAAAGTAGTATTTCTATAAATGTGTGGTTGAAAATAAATTAAAAAAATAAATATTAAAATTGGGGGCCAAACGTGGAATGCTATAAAAAAAAAAAATTTCTAATTTTTGTCCACAACCTTTGCAAAGGTGACAAATCTACCTTTAAATTAAGTAGCACAACTCTATTCTTACCTCCATTTCCAACCTTTAAATTATGTAGCACAAGTCTATTATTACCTCCATTTTGATCATTAAGTCCCCGTTTGAGCCACATTATTATAAAAATGAGAATGAAAAATATAGTCGTTATGGACTCCACACAAGAGATAAAAAGTCAAATATGATGACTTGATATGATGGATAACAATCATATTTTTCATTTTAATGAAGAAATAATGGGACTTAAACAGGGCCTAATGATAATTTTTTCTCATCCTTTTTATATGGGTGTTTGAGCCCATTATTTTGGTAATAATGCATTTTTGAATAATGTATTGAGAAGAAATGTGTGGTTAAAAAATAAGAAAATTTTTTTGATCTGTGTGTAATATTATTTTATTGAAGAATGTGTGGTTGAAATGATGTCAAATTATTGTTTAAGAATGTATATTTTTGAAATAATGTGCACTAAGAAAACTAAAGAGCAATGAAAAAAAAGGGAAAATTACAGAGAAAGTCCCATAATTTTTGAAAAATACAAATAAATCTCACTTAAAAGAAGTAAATACATATTAACACATCGAAATAAAATTTTAAAAAGTAAACATTTCATCTTTCCCAGTCAAGCGGACCCCCCTCCACAGATTTATATCCCAAATATAACCTACAACCCACCGTAGTAGAACCACCACCGACAGTGAACATCGCACCATCACTCTACCATTCATTTGCAAGAATCAAATTACAATTTAAATCTTAGTGATTAGTTTTGAGAATCCTAAATCTTTTTCAACAACTCGGTACTCGCAAAGGAATGGTATGGAAGGATGGAGGTACCTGATTACCGGTGGTGGTTTTGCTACAGCAGGTTTCAGAAAAGGAATTTTTTTTATAATTTGGTGGAAGAAGATGAAGCCCTTCTTAGAGTCCCGTGATTTGGAAAAAAAAATGCATTCTTAAATATTGTTTTGAAATCATTTCCACCACACCTTTTTTCAATAAAATAATATTACAAGTAAATTTTAAACTTTTCTTTATTTTTTAAAAACACATTTCACATCATTAAACTATTCAAAGATGTATTTTTCTCAGCAAAAATGGGGTTCAAACAAGGGGGAAATGTTTATTTTTTCTAGAATTTTCTTTTTGTGTTAATATGCATTTAGTTGTTTAAGTGAAATTCACTTGTATTTTTTGAAAATTTTGGAGCTTCATTTGCACTTTTTATTTATTTATTTTCTTTTATTTCTGTTCATTTAAAAAGGAAGGCAAATCCTTTATTTAATGATCAAAATGGAGAAAAGTATGAGTTTTACTACATAATTAAAATATTGGAGATAGATTTTGCTAAAAAACTTGAAGGTAGATTTGTTACACGTTACAAAGGTTGAGGATGAAAAGTGCGAATTTCATAACCTATTAAGCCCATATTTGATGAGGACTAAAATCAAATTTTTAGTAAGTTTTGATAAAAATGGATGAAATATATGGTTGAAAAAGGTTATGAATCTCCTAAAATATGTGATGAATATTAACTATTTGTTATGACTTGGAATTTTAATCCCTATAAAACATGGCATAAATATGGAGAGAATTGTATACGAGAATTTCTGGAAAAAAATCATAGATTAAACAAGAGTACTTAGAGAATAAATTGGGGGTGGTAATAAAATTTTAAATTATGGAAAATATTTAATATTACAAAAAAAATGTATTTTATGACAAGCAAAATAATGAATTTTCGTAAACCATTCCTTCGTACTATAAGAGCTTGTTTGGGAGAGATTTTTCCAAGGAAAAAGTAATTTTTTTTTTTTTTTAAATATGGTAAAAGCGTATGGAGAAGTTATGCATCGGACAACTTAAACCATTAGTAATACAAAAGGGGTTAAATCCATCAAATGCTTCCCAACTTTATACTTAATATCACCATAATCATCCAATTTGATTTTGTTTCCTCAAGGTCACTCAACTTTGTACATTGTATCACCATCGCCATCCAATTTAATTTTATTTTGTCATGACCACCCAACATCTTTTCATCATTTTCACTAATTATAAAAGTGGTAAAATGATAATTTTGCATTATATATGTAAAATAAATTTTAAAAAGCAAAAAGAAAAATATTTTTTTATTAAAAAAATTTTTAATAAGTTTTTATTTTCTTTTATTTTTCTAAGCAATATTTTTTAAAATAAGTTTTATATATATATAATGAAAAGTTATCATTTACCCCTTCTAAAATTAGTAAAATGAGTGAAAAAAAAGTTGGATGACAAAAGTGAAACGTTATATGAAATTGAATGATCATTGTAAAATGAAATCAAATTGGGTGACAATGGTGAGACTAAATATAAAGTTTGATAGTCATGATAAAATAAAATCAAATTGAATGACCATGAAGATACTAAGTATAAAGTTGAGTGGACATCAATGAATTTAACCCATTACAAAAGCGCCATGTATGGACGAGGCAATTCAGACAACCAAAAGAAGTAAAGAAAATGAAAATCTTTTATGTGACAACAGACAGTGTTGGTGTTCCAAAGTATCTATAAATATCAACTTTAAAACTGTAATAAAGCCAGAATCTCCACTGCAATGCATAGTAAAAAATGAAGTAACAAATGATGTGAGATTAAAAAAGAGAAAAATCATTGACGATTCTGCCGAACAGATTGTAATTTGGAAGCTAAAGTATCATAGTCGGGAAGCTTTGGATGAACATGACTAGCTCTCTTAGCATTATCTTCATTATCTGAAGAAGTCTTGCCCGATTTTGGTTTTGGATTTTCACTGCTTTCCAATGAGTCTTTCTTCGACTTAGGCCTAGATTGTTCTACGTCAGATGACTTCTGAGAGATCTTCAACTCCTGCACCGTAGTAGAAGTTGGTTTTGCTTGGGTAGGATGCTCATGAGCCATGGAAAAACTCAAGTTCATGGGCTTAGAAGCCACTTTTGCGGAGGTGGGCTGCACGAGATTTTCCCTTTTATCAGACTTCCTTGTTTGGGACCCAGATTCTTGGGGAGTTTCAGTACTGTAAGAGGTTGAGGGTTTTTTTTCGACTCCAGAATCAGAATCAAGCCGAGTCTTTGGATAAGAAGTGGGCTTAGAAGTCACTTTTGCTGCAGTGGGCTGCTCAGGATTTTCACTCTTATCCGAGTTCCTCATTTCGGATCGAGATTCTTGTGGAGTTTCAGTACTGGAAGAGGTCAAGAGTTTCCTTCCGTTTCCAGATTCAGAATCAGGCCGAGCCTTAGGATAAGAAGCTTTTGTCCTCCGAGAAATTCCACTTTGCAGATGGCTTTTCTTAGTGGGGGATTGTTTTGGAATATCATCATCCGAATCACTATTATCAGAACCAAAAACCGAAACTGGAGCTCCAAAGCTTGACTTTTTCTTAACTGCATAACCTACACTATTAATATATGATTCTCTTCGGGCACCTGATGTCTCCCTTCGAGACATTTCTTCTTCGGAACTGTCAGTATCCGTATAAGGGTGGGGATCACGTCCTCTCATGCTTTTCTTATCATCTAACGTTGTACTTAACCTAGGATTCTCGACAGTGGGAGAAGCAGCAGCTTCAGGAACAGTCTCCTCAGTCGTTTTCTTCAATGATAATGGATTATCCAATCGACTCTTCAAGTAAGGGAGAGGGTTATTACCCTTGTGACGAAATCCACCAGTGAGCTTTCCAAAATTCAGGCCAGTCCCGCTCTCTGAATTCAATTCACTGCCAATATCGTTCGAGTCCAATTGTTCGGGTCCTGGAGTAGGTGGATAAGCAAAAGACTTCCCGGAACTAAATATTTTTGGAGAATCAGCATCAAATTTGGTTCCTTGGCTGTTTTCCCCATGCACTTCCTCGGACTTGACTTCATCATGTGAGAACAGTAACGGTTGCTTTCTGTCAGATCCTGGATATCCTTTCTCCTTAAATGATGATTGAGGACTTTTCTTTTGTCTACTTGAAAGGTTTATAGAATCTTTTGTCCCATTAGGATCAAACTTATCCATATGTTCCTCGGACTGGACTTCATCGTCAGAGAAAAGTGACCACTGTTTTCTGTCAGCTCCTGAAGATCCTCTCTCTGTAATTGATTTTTTAACTGATTGTGAAATTTTATTTTGTATACTAGGAAGATTTTTAGAATCTTCTGTCCCAATAGGATCAAACTTATCCATATGTTCATCACTGTCAAACTCTGGGTCATCAGAATCATCAAAGGTCACAGGCACAAAATTATCAGAAAACTCAGGGAACGTGTGCTCTTCTGTGGAGAATAGTAACGAAGTGGAATTCTCAACTAATTTGATTGCGCTAGTTCTAGGGCTCCAAGCATCTTGTTTTAAAGGAGAGTTCTTAGGTGATTTCTTGCCTGGTGATGAAAAATAAACTTCTGGCTCTGGCTCATCAAACTTGCGGCCAATATTAAACCCATACTCATCACTATCTGAATCAGATTTGTCAAAAACTGCTGAAGTAAGATCATGAGGACTTGTCAGTGACGCATCTTGATCAAATCTTCTCTCACCAATATCCACCGAAGGATCCTCACCAGCATCATATCCAAATTTTTGGTGTTCAGAGTTTGCGAAATTGTTCTGGTCACTGAAAATGTTAGAATGGGAACGGGAAGAAATATAACTGGGTTTTTTCCTAATTCTTTCTTCAGGGAAATCCTCAGATTTCTCTTGCCACTCATTTGAACTGTCAGCATCGTAGAAAGATTGTTTCTGTTCCGAATTTGCAAAAATGTTCTCATCACTGAAATTGCGTGAATGGGAACTGGAAGAGATATGACTGGGTTGTTTCCTAATCCTTTCTTCTGAGAAATTCTCAGATTTCTCATGCCATGCATTTGCACTCTCAGCATCATAGACAGACTGTTTCTTCATACCCATTTCAGACGACTGTTTCTTCATACTCAATTCACCTTCATCGGTCTTCTTATACATTTCATCTTTCTTAGCCTCCTCTAAGGAGTTCTTCAGAGAATACCCCTCTACAACTTGGACATCATGATCCAATGAGTCATTAGTTGAAGTTTCAGGAATTAAAGAAGTGGATTGACTGAATCCCGTTGTACTACCATAACCATCCTCAGAGAATCTTCCAGCAGCTGTCTTTGAATAATTATGTCCAACCTGATCTACATCGTCACTCTGTAACCTAATAGTTCCAGAAGACATGTTTGCAGAATAGTCTGGAAAATTTTCACTGCTGAATTGTGTAGTGGACTTTTCATTTCTATCGTTTCCCGAAATATGAACGTCATACTTGTGTGATTCTGTGGAATACTGTTTCATAATCCTGTCAGGGCTTGAAAGTTCTGCAGCAGCTCTAGCAGCCATACTTGCAAGTTCTGCAGACTCAGCGGCTGCCTGAGCTGCAGAAGTAGCATCCTTGAACTCCATATTCCATCTCTGCTTAGAGAAAGCATTTCCATCCTCTTGTATTGATTGTACCCTCTCATCACCTACTGCCGGACATCAAAATTTAATAGATGACTTAGAAATTTGAAGAACAATGAATAACTGAAGAAAAATTCATAGCTCTACTCTAATGAAATTTAACATACCTGGAGGCCTCACTTCTGATTTGAGTCTTGAGCCAACACCAGAACTTTGGGAAGCAGTGGAGTTCTGTGTTCCCAGTGAGGATCTAGGATCCTGCTCTGCGAAGTTCAACGGTGAACTATGCATCTTATTCTGAACAGGTGTAGCTTCAAAAAGTGGAGGTTCAGCATATATTTTACTGTTCTTTTCAATTGTACTTGGTCCATTCTGATTAATTTTAAATCAAGAGGTAAATTAGAGAATGCCTTAAAAAATTGTTGTGTCATAGCATAATGTTAAGATTTCCACAGAACGTATAGAATCCTGAAAGCAACTGAACCATACCAGCAAATCACTGGGAGGCATCCCATCTTTCTCTCCAAATGAATTAGGATCCCATTTCACGTTGTGCTCCTCTGCAATTGCACTCAATATTTTAATTTTGGTCTGTCCATCAGGTGCCATTGGAGATAACTTCTCAACCAACTGAAATGTCATAGCACAAGGTGATAATCAGAGATATGTTGCTTATCTTAAAAAATAAATAAATGAATGAATGAATAAAATAAGGGAAAAGAAAAGAAAATTGCATACAGTTAGCTTCCTTGTAACCTAATTTCTGGTAAAAAAAAAAAAAAAACCCACAAAAATAAGCTGCTTAAGCATACCATGCGGCTTACACCACACTCTGGACGAAGCTCTATGGCTGCTGTGGTGAAATCTTTTCCATATTTTGCTGTCAAATGCTTCCGTATATCTAGAAGTTCAGGTACATCTCCACATCTTAGTGATGCAAATATTAAACTAGTAATTGCTTCCTTCAGGTCGATGGGGCAGTTCCTGCAGGAAAATTGGGCAACAAATTCCACCTGTTGTGTTAAAAACAGTTGAGCATGACTCAATGCCATAACTTAATCAAGGAGAATATTCGATGCATGGAACAGTTTTTCTATTTTCCGAGATATAAAAAGTCTTGACATGTGCCACACATAGAAAACAACTCCATTTTTGGACAACACACAAAAATGAACGAGAAGGTGCATACAAATTAACTCTAGCTGTACATGCAAGCGATGCCGCTCAATGCCATAACTTAATCAAGGAGAATATTCGATGCATGGAACAGTTTTTCTATTTTCCGAGATATAAAAAGTCTTGACATGAGAAGAAAACCTCTTAAAAGGTTTCAAGAGATTGCCACACATAGAAAACAACTCCATTTTTGGACAACACACAAAAATGAACGAGAAGGTGCATACAAATTAACTCTAGCTGTACATGCAAGCGATGCCACCTGAATTGCAAAAGGTGCTTCAGCAACATAACAATAATCTACTTTAATGTACCCATTGACTACTACCTATCATTGATGGACTCCAGTCACTCCACATTTACAAATTGAGTTAATACATAAACCTGAAACAAATCACACCCAAGCAACCTCATATTCACCAAACAGCGATGCCATCCTCTATCCATGCACAAAACACCCTTCAACTGCCACCACCTCCTACCAAAAAAATATTGTTCATTGGAATAGTTCAGATTCATCCAAAATATATTTTTCCGTTTTTTTCTTTTCTGTCGCTGGGACTGTCCACCAGTTAAGCAGAATGCTGAATTAAATTAATTCTTTCATTATTGTTCTCATTCTTTAAAAAAAAATAGAGGCAATTGAAAAGAAAATAAACTGTCTGTCTTCATTTTAGATAATAGTTATAAAAAAAGACGAAAAAGGGATTTCCAGTAGATTTTGTAGCAGCACGTATTCTCTATTATCCAGCTCTATTGACCTTTATCAGTACCTAGCTGCCATATATTTTGCGACTGCTTTCATTATCAGCAAAGGATTCTCTGATTCTAGCACGACGGATTGCGTATGCTTTGCAATGATTCAGACATTCGGTTGCTCCCGTTTGACTTTTGATTAGGTATATATATTGCTCTACTAGAACCTTAATTTTCATCGAAGTGATTGGCCTCTTATTTTTAAAAAATAAAAACTTGTTTTATTTTAGTTGTTAGTTTCTCTGTTTCTCTTTAAAAATAAGTAAATATTTTAACTGTTTCTCTGGTTTTGATATTTTTGAGCCAAAAAAAAAAAAAAAAAAGACACAACTCAATTTAACTTAAATTTAGTCCCTAAAATGTTGTCACTTGCCTATAAAAAATTAGAAGAACAATTAGTGACAACTGGACAACAGCTTGTTCGGCATTCTCTATCTCTTAATGAACTCTCTCCTTTTCTGGAACCAATTACGAATTTACGCTTACAAGTGGAACAATCACATGTTGTTTTCATGCTTACATCTCTATTCACTGATGACAGCATTGATCTCGGATGAGCTACAAAATTGTACACATGTTACTATACAAATGACAGTTGCTCCTTGCCTAAGTAAAATATTTCGAATTACTGCACTCGATAACCCATATAGTGATAAGACATTGAAGGATATCTTTCAATTAATTGTATCATCATTTCTCTCTGACCATTCCTCCATATTATATCCTAAGGGAGCTGGGATAGTGTAAACTATGCTAAGGTGAGGTATTTATATCATAATATTGGATCTAGATGGTGAACAAATGACAATTGATATGTTCCAACATTTTCTTTTAGCACTAAGGGAAACTAATGTAGGGAATATCTTTACATTCACGATGATTATTATGACTCTTATATTGGAAGAAAGTTACAATCTCTCAGAAATTGCTTACCCTTCCTTTAATTAGAGTAAAAATGAAGAATACAGGATCTTTCCTTTTGCAATCAATTGGTAGAGACTTTTGAGAAGTGCATTGTCAGTATCAAATCTTACTTGACACAATCTATAAAATCTTTTAGACTTTCCTTCGATGATTATAGTGTGGTTGCCTCCTTCCTTTGCACAAGGGTAATTATAATATTGTGTGGAATAGTAACATCACAGATGGAGACAAGTTGGTTGCCGAAGATTAGGGTTCTGAGCATTGTGTTGTGTCCCCTTTCATGTTCACACCTATAGTCAGATATAATTAACAATATCATAGTTGGAGAATTACCTAAGGCGTTGTCACCAAGCCAAACATTCCATATGTCCTCCACTTCACATTAAAAATAGGTTTTAGATCACTCACATGAAGATAATTTATTTGACTGACAATGATATTCAAGTTTTCAATATAGCACAATTATTTTCTTATCAGGCACATTCGAGCCACCTTATTGCAATCATTTGTTTCTGCAAGCCAGTGTGTTATGCTAGTCTTTCAACTCCTCATCATGTGAACCAATTGATATTTTTGTGGATGAATTGCACCATATGCTACTTTCAAGCGTTTGTTATCGGTATTTGATCAACAAGAAAGATCACTCCCTTAGTATGAGTTAATCTATATGTAGTTGCCAATTGTTCAACACCAATAATTGGTTAGGACAAAGATCGACCACTTTGAAGAATAAAGTTACAGTCTTTCTTGTCGGGGTTAAACTCTCTGGCTGAAGAAAATCCTGGTAGAGATATTTTTTAATTTACTTTCCAAATTAGATAAGAGCTTGTTCTTAAGGTGTTAGGTGGGGATCAAAATTAGATTTTTTTTAGTAGATTGTGATAGATATTTTTGAAATGTGTGGTCGAAAAGTTGTAAGACCCATGAAAGATGTGGTTAATATTGATTATTTGACTTTGACTTAAATTAAAATCAGATTTTAATCTAAACCAAACATGCTTTAGAACATGTAATTATAGTTTTATTTAATGGATTTTCTAATATTTTATTAAGTTGTTTACTTTTCGAATTTGGATACTTATTTTAGGAAACATGTTTAGGGTTTTATTTAATAAACTTTCTAATATTTTCCCACTTAAATTAGTTTAAACCCTATAAAGGGGACTTTAATGACTTATGCATTGTAATAGTTAGACTTTGATATTGAATAAAATGATATTTTCTCCATGTAAATTCTCTCTATTCTCTCCCTCTTCTTCTCTTTCGCCTCTCTCTTCCTCTTTCTTTCTTAGCCCATGTTTGAGCCAAATTCTAGGGAAAAAATACATTATTCATGTCAAATCAATATGAAATGTATGGTTAAAAAATAAGGAAAAGTTTTAAATTTACGTGTAATATTATTTTATTGAAGAATGTACGGTTGAAATGATGTCAAATCACTGTTGAAGAATGTATTTTTTTGAAAATAATGTGGCTCAAACAAGCCCTTAATCTTGATCTTGTTTGGTTTTGTTTTACGTCATCGATATTTGTAAAATGGATGTTAAATGAGCATTCTAGAGTAAAAAATTTACATACTTTTGTGACTCAATGATTGGCATGCGAGTAACAGTAAGTTCGCAGTATATCTCAACAAGATCATATGCTGCCATCATCTTCTCTTCCCTAACTACATGTTCAACCTGAAAAGTTAATAAGAGAGAAATGAGAATATGTTACGAAAAAACGACTTTAAAATTTATAACCAGCGACCACAGCGCAAAAGCAAACAATTGGCTTCACTAATCAGTATGATCAAGACATCAACAGCACATAAGAATAAGCGATGTTAGATTTCATCATGCTCATTTCAGACATCTGTAAAAAAAAAATAAAAAAAAAAGAAAAAGAAAAAAAGGAGTTTGGTAAGAATCTAGCTTTGATGACATATAAAGAATTTATCTCTACGACCACTGCCTTGGCCTCTGTAATAATATAAACATTCAGGATGAAATGTCATAAAACCATGGCCTTGTGCATACAGAAGGTGCAGAAACCCAAGATTTTCTTGTTACTGTAGGCTTTAGCAAGGGAATTGATATATGCATTTCCACACAGGATTACCACTCTATATGGTAAGGATGCTAAAGCATTTTAGAAAGAGTTAATTTCCTATCTTTGGCCAGCTAGAAGCAAGGTTAAATATAAATAAATAAATAACCCTACATGCACACTCCAAATGTCAAATATATGCAGCAATAACATCCAACTCTAAATATTAAGTTTAATAGTTAGGCTAAAACCAATACTTCCACTTGGATCTTCGTAAAAGGGGAAGGCAAACAAACACAAAAAACTGAAGAATCCCAGCACCGGAGACACATTTGTGACAATATAAAATTCTGTTTGCTGACTCTCATACTTAGTAAAACATAATATTAATTACAGTTTTGATGGTTCCGCCATAAATGGCTGCCAATAACTCTCGTTGCGCGTTAATCCAACAAGTTTTAGAATGTGATGGAAAAACACAAATCATACAGATCTGGTAACAGAGGAAGATGGCTACAGAAATGACTAATGCATGAGAAAACAAACATCATGATCTGAAAAATAGCTCTTCAAAACGCGTTTAAATCCTAATAGAAAAGCAAGCAAGAAGGGCAGAAATAAAGGTCTTCTAGAATACTCCAAATACGCTGTTTTCTGCTTTCACCCATTAGCATTGATTGACGTGAGAACTCTTCAATCCAACCCCTCCTCTTACCCATCCCCCAAAGGGGAAATAAATTCAACCCATCCACATGATTTCCCTTCCAGTTCAAGGCATGCTCCAAAATCTATTAAGAGATTAGTTTTGAAACAAGTTTGAATTCATGAATAATTAATATACCAAGGATAATAAAAGAAACTGGATCCACTGGTGAAATCCATTGAAAAGGTTACATTATCACTGCAACCCTCTCATTATGTCTTCATAGTTCATACTGTACATTTTGATGACAGAAATATAAAATTTCTTCTACTTCTGGCCATGATCTTAAGGTCATTAACTGAAATTCAAGAAAACAAATTACTTATGTAGTCAACAAAAAAAGCCAAAAAGAAACTGAGCCTGGCTAAACTGAAGGAATCACCAAAGTTCGGGGGGGAATTCAACGAGCAAATCAGAGAAAAACATTTCTTTTTTTTTCATTTGTACTAGATAAGTCATTACCCTAATTCGAGCAGTCTGGATGTTGCCAGACTCAAGCAACTGCGCCAATTCCCTCTTCATCTGTTTCACTTGCACTTCCTTCTTATTCCTCAATAGCTTCAGCCTTGAAGCTGCCAGCTTCAACGAGGTCTTGCTGCATCGGGTTACAATTTACTCATTCAATAATTTAACAAGAAAAAGACATACATAAAATTTAATCTCAAATAGCTAATACAAACATAGATGTAAGAATTAAGATTACATCATACAGCATGACTCAAAAATCATATACTTTATATTATTCAATTAATTTTACCATTTGGCGGGATTGAAGCTCCTGGAAAGCATGTCCTTAGAATTCTGCAGCAACTTTGATTTCTTCATTTTCTTTTCATTCAAGTGAACTCCAATTGAAACCTTAATATCCGAAGCTGCAAAAAAGCACTATAATTCAGGCTTGTACATACAGAAATTGAAATTTCTTGGTTAGAGAAATGATTATCTATACCGCGTGATTGAATTTTTGATCGGTGAGAATTTAGAGGTTTTCTAGAGAAATGAAATTGTTTGGTAAGGAGATTCGTTTAACAAAGAGAAGGACATGAGGACTAGGGAACGAAATAACAAAGAAATGGGCGACCGTGACGAAGGTACCGAATTGCCCCGTTTGATGTCAATTTCTCCGTTGACATCTTTGTTATTTTTTTAGATGTTTGATCTGTTATACCCTTTAACCGCGTGATTTCTTAAAATGGGTTGGGAGTTGGGACCATTTTCGTATAAACGGAGTCAGAGGAAGAATTTTTATTTATTTATTTATTTATTTATTATTATTATTATTTTTTTTTGCATAGAACTAGGGGGAAAAAATCCATAAGAAAATTGGCTGCCCCCTTCTCTCGCCCTTGGGTTCTTGGGTTTTTCAATTGAATTGATCAGTCATTTATTGATTCTTACAATACAAAATGTAAATATGTTGTTCCGCCAAAAAGACTGTTGGATTGTTCAAATACGTTGTTAAGTATTGGGGTGTGTCATAGAATATTGTCAATGATCAGGGCTCAAAATTCATAGGAACCTTCTGAAATCCAAATGAAAGATCTCCTCTAACCATCACCCATAAACTGATAGCCAAGACATAGCACTTTAATGTTCTCCTAGAAGAGTCTTTGCGTCATTTCGTTAATGCCAACCAAAAGAACTGGGTGTAATTGCTTGACATGCTACGATAATTCTTTGAAAAAGCCCGATTCTCTTTGTCATTGAGCTTTCATTCCTCAATCCACTGATTTGTTTCTTCATATACCTTCCCACCCATAGATAGAGACAAATGGGAATAACCTAATCACATCTACAAAATGCTAGTACCATGCAGTCATTTCAAAGCATCAAATTGTCCTAAAGGAAAGAAAGAGAGGGTGGCGAAGAAGAAGGGAGAAGCCAGTCGCTCAAACTCGAACAAACAAGAGGTTAAGAAGCGGGAGTTTGCCCACCAAGAATTCATGTCTAGCACGAGTATGAGACTTGGTGAATAAATCTGCAACCTGAACTCCTTGCTTATTTAAGGCGAATCCAAGGGCTTTGCACTTCTCACGAGTGAAACCCCCTTAATTTCGACTGGATTCCAATAAGAGGTTCTTTTTCTCGCATCCCCGCCCCTTTCATTTCCATGCTGGAGGAAATGGGATTCGAACCCATGATACAATCTTCTTGTATGTCTATGTAGCAAACCAATGCCTTAAGCCACTCAGTCGTACCTCCAAGTTGTTGATCGGAATGGAATTTGATGTGCCGGGTTTGGTTAGTTGCCCGAAGGGCTATTTGCTCCAATGAACTACCTAAGTCATAATGCGCTAGCGCATGTACTCTTCTTCTATTAGTGAGACTCTCTATTCAATACCAGCAAATTAAAGAGCACTGGACTCGACTTGTTCAATGAGCTTGCAATTCCTTTCTTATTATTTCTGGAATGTAATTCGATTTCTGTTTGCTTGCTATTTTTATTTATCAGATATAAGTGGTTCCAAGTATAAGGGCTTTTGCAGCTACTCCTATATAAAGTGGACAGATCGATGAAAATCCTTGAACTTCTGCAAGGGTTTAGAAATAAAGGTAGGTGCGGAGGGTTTTCGTATAAATAAGAAACATACTCAAATCTAGTTATCTATTATTTTACAAGAAGTAAATGAATAGTGTAAATACATGTTACAAGAAATTATCCAACGAGGCTAGCTGGCTCCCTATTACATAAAAATTGAGAAAAGTAGAAAGACTTACATTGATAACCTCCAAGTTAAATTAGAGTAAAGTTCATGGGCAGATGTAGGAGTGTATATATTGGCCTATTCGTTTCAAATTTGTAAGTGTTACTCATTATACCTTTTCAATTGAAGACAAAATTACTTCGATTTTACATAGGAAGAGTGAGTAGTCTCCAACATTTATCTAATCCAAAGTTTGGTAGCTTCTTTAAGCCAAAACTGATTATATTTTTATTTTCATTTTTCTCTTTAATAAGCTTGACTCCAATCATTTCATGTCACATGTGGTACTAGTTGCCTTTTCCCATCTTTATCACGTTAGTTATATGCTTGCTATTGTGTTCTAATTCGTAATTAATTCATTTTGTTAATATTAAGAACTTGTTTGAACCACATTAAATTAAAAAAAAATGCATTTTGAAATAATAAATTGATGGAGAATGCATGATTGAAAAAAAAAATTGAATTTACATGTATTATTATTCTATTGAAGAATGTGTAATTAAAAAGAATGAAGAGAAATATGTATTTTAAAAATAATGGGAATAAAACGAGGCCTATCTCCTTTTTATTTCTTTTTTAAACTAACAATTATCAAAATTACCAAATCTTTAATATACCCTCGTTTTATTTGTCCTTAAGTCTACATTTTTGTTCGATCTCATTTTTTAGCAAGAAAAAATCATAATTAAGAGGTTAAGTATTACACATTTCAGAACTAAAAAGAAAGATTTCAAATTTCAAAAATCAAATATTTATTTACGATTTTATTAATTAATTATATATTTTATTAATTAAATATATTAAGATCACAGATGTGTATAATTTGAGTTAGTCACATATTATTTTTCGGTCACAAATTAGAATTTTTATATGTTACAAATTATTTTATGGTCTCAATTCAAAAATTTTATAAGTCAATTTGTTCATCGATCGAAGATTAAAAATTTATAAGTCGCAATTTATTTATCGGTCACAAATCACAAATATTATAAGTTACAACTTATTATACAGTCACAAATTATCAAATTATCGGTCACAAATTAACAATTTTTAAGTTACACATTATTTATTGGTCACAATTTATTTTTTCATTGGTCATATATTATTTATTGGTCATAGACTAACCAATTTAATGATCACAATCAACCAAATAATTTGTAACCATCATCTCACTACGGCCTCCAACAACAACAGCACCACTACCACCTCCCGACGGTTGGTGACAAACACTTTTATACTGCATCGACACCATAATTGCAACCATCGGCACACCCTCTTCACCTCCTGTACCACAATGTTTGCGGCCACCACCTCACCATCGCCAATAGTGCCAGCTCCACCGCCACCCCACCCCACCAGCGCCAAAATCCACCACCAACATAGCCAAATCCACATGCACCACAGATAACAAAAAACACCCAAAAAACCACCTCCACCACCAACTGCAAAACCACATATCCATAATCAAAAGTAAAACAATTGATGGTGAACCACAAAAGTAACCAAATCAGTGTAAAACTATTGATCCAAAACCACCACCACCATCGCCTCAGCTATCATCAACCAATAGAAAAACACACCTAAATCCTAAGCAAATAGGAAAATGAAGAAACCACCCCTTAATCCCCAAAAATAACCCCCCCAAAACAATTCCTCAGTAGTCCCATTCATCGTCGGAAGTCGTCGTCAGGCACAACTCCTCTCTGCTTGGAGCGCGGTGCTACGCGAGCAATGGCGCCTTGTGTATAGCTACTGTGTGTTGCCAGAGCACGGTTGAGCGGTACAGAGAGTGGAGAGAGTGGTTGCAACTGTTTGTTGTTGGAGTATGGTTACGTTTTGCGGGTTGATGTGTCGCGGGAAGGTGGCTGAGAATGGAGAGGCAAATGAGGGAGAAGGGAGAGGGGGGAAAATATATAAATGATTTTAGGGTTTGAAAATAGGTAGGTGAGGATTTTCGTGGGTGGTAAGTTTGTAGATTTATTTAGCCCCGATTGATTCCCATTATTTGCCCATTAAAATAAAAAATATGATCGTTATTCATCATATCAAGTCACCATATTTAACTTTCTATCTTTTGTGAGGGCTTCGTAATGGTTATATTTTTCATTCTCATTTTTTAATTAATATGTACCATGCGGGGCCTTAATTTTATAATATTAAAAAGTTCAAATTATTATTTGATTTTGAACAAGAAAATTTCAAATCCAAGTTTCGAATTGGTCATTTTAAAATGGGTAATTAGCACAAAACATCCCTACCTTTTGATATTTTTGTGGAAAACGTCCATACCTTTCATTTTTTGGCGGATTACACCCTTACCTTTACCTTTTTTTGCGCAAAACGTCCTTTTGTCAACCCTCCGTTAAAACGTTCCGTTAAATCAAAAAGGTAATTAGCACAAAAGGTCCATACCTTTCAAAGTTATTGTGCAAAACGTCCCTATCTTTCATTTTTAGCATTTTTACCCCTACATTTCACCTTTCATTGCGCAAAAGGTCATTTTCATCCATTTTTTCAATAAAATGACGATTTTACCCTCCTATTGAAATAAAATAAAAAGAAAAGAAAAAAATAATTAATTAATTGCAATCATAGTTCTAAATATTTCAAAACATTACAGATAAATCATAAATTCTCAACCCCCACCATTTTCACAACCTATCAAGCTGCCAACTATAAATCCACATAATACCACCTTTCGACCACCATGCCCATCGGACTCCACCACCGTAAATGTGGTTGTTTCGGATAGATTGGTAACCAATACTATGGAGGAGGATATTGGGGAGAGTGAGGCGACACTGGTGGTGGTAGAGTCCGATAGGTGTTGTGGTCGAAAAGTGGTGCTATATGGATCTATAGGTGGTGGCTTGGTGGGATTGTGAAAGTGGCGGTAGTGGAGAATTTAGGATTTATCTGTAATGTTTTGAAAAATTTAGAACTATGATTGCAATTAATTAATTATTTTTTTCTTTTCTTTTTGTTTTATTTCAATCGGAGGGTAAAATCGTCATTTTATTGAAAAAATGGATGAAAAGCACCTTTTGCGCAATGAAAGGTGAAATGTAGGGGTAAAAATGCTAAAAATGAAAGGTAGGGACGTTTTGCACAATAATATTGAAAGATAGGGACCTTTTTTGCTAATTATGCTAAAAAATAAAAGGTAGGGACGTTTTGCACAATAACTTTGAAAGGTATGGACCTTTTGTGCTAATTACCTTTTTGATTTAACGGAGCATTTTAACGGAGAGTTGACAGAAGGACGTTTTGCACAAAAAAAAAGGGAAAGGTAAGGGTGTAATCCGTCAAAAAATGAAAGGTAAGGACGTTTTCCACAAAAACATTGAAAGGTAGGGATGTTTTGTACTAATTACCCTTTTTAAAATTATGGATAGGTGTAATTTCCACTTTTTTAGCTGTTACGTGACTTAGGTTAAGAGTGGCAAATCATTTTATTTTTTTTTCCTATTTTGAAAAATCTAGGAATTTACTTTTTTATTCAAAAGCTTTTGTTATAGATTATTTAACTTTCTAATGCCAAACATATCATTCTTAAAACTAGGATGCGGCAAGCCTATGTTCTACAACAATAAATATTTAATTTGGGAAAAATGCACAGATATATTTATATATTAAAAAAGTTTAATTCTCCCATACCTACTCTTAAAACATTTTATATTCTCAAATTATTATTTTAAATTTATTTATTATTTTATTTTTTTACAATAAATTTGGAAACGTAGTGTTACATCATCCATCATGTATCATTTATAGCACAATATGTTACACGCGTTATCACCTTTTCAACCATAATTATAAGTCAAATAAAAAGAAATAAATTGATGAGGGTTTGAAAATCGTACTTTCATTTAAGTTTCTGTCTGGAAACAAACTCGACCACGTTTCGGAAGCCCCACATACAATACAAAATGCATGACTATCTGAATAATAAGATAATACTCATTCTTCATTTATATAGGTGGATTTTTTTTTTTTTTTTTTTACCCAAATTATAAAAAATTTTATTTTATTGAAAAAACAATTTTTGCCAAAAACTTTCCTAATCTACCTTTATTTATATTTGTACAAATTCAAGATTTAGTAGAAAAATGCATTATAACTAAACAAATTAAACAAGCGTGTATTAATAAACGAACAAAATGAAACATTCTCAATAAAAAAATAAAACTATATAATTGAGACCAAAAATAATAATAATAATAATAATAAGGCAAGTCAACCTATATAAATGGGGACGGAGAGAGTAATATTAGTGCAAGAAAAAATGTGTGAATATCCTGGAACTAGCATCATTTTAACTGGAATGAAAATTGTATTACAAAGTTCAATAACCTAAATCACTCACAAAGAGTAAACTTGAAATCTTGAATATGCTAATTATTGCGGTGATGAAATTCGACAACCGATTTCTCACCTTTATAAACATTTATAGGAAAACAAAATCTTGAAATTACCTCGATGGGTGGTGATTAGGAATGTTAATTTTCCTAAACAAATTTTACCCAACTCGTGGTTTTCAAGGGTAGTAGCCTGTGATGGTAAATCCCCTTCCAACAATCTCACCAGCACAAAACCATGCGAAGCACTCGAGGCCAAACAAAGCAGCAATACCGGCATCCTCAACCTTAAGCTCCTGTCTGTGCTTCCACATGTTCTTCACATAATCAAGTTCCTTCCAAAATGCCTCAGTACGACCAGGAATGCTGCAAATAAGAAGTAACAGAAGCAATGAGACTACACGGTTGCTTGTGTTGGGAAACCGGAAAATGAAAGATGCAATGGATAATAACAAAACAACTCATTATGATCAACCATTCAAGATGATAATATGCCATTAGTGAGTACGATAAGCTATGCCGATGAAGCTAGATTCCACGTGCAATAATCACAAAAGAGTTCGCACTTGCTATATGGTGGAAATTTCTGGTCTCATGCAACACATGAAATAACTTGGTAAAGTGAATGATTTTTGAGTGAAATGAGGTCAAGTAACCATTTGACCAGCTAAATTGCATTTTTCAGACAATTCTATTTCTTTCCGTGCATACATGGATAGAGCATACACTGCTTGGCCCAAAGAGACAAGAATGGAGAGGGTTAGTGTTAACAACTTGTTAAAAGAAGTTGACAATTGATCATTAGAAACAGAAACCTAAAGTTTGAATCTTGAACCAGCCGTTCTCAATCATCATTAATTTTGGCAGTTTTATATCCCCAGGGCATCATTTTAAAAGGATGCTCTATTAAAAAAATTAAATAATGCAATGATTTAAAAAATTGACATTCGTGTACTTGCTTTGAATATGCTAACTTACAACCATGGAAAATCAATTTATAAATTTGACTGGCCACGACTATTAACTATTTATGGGGGAAATCAATTCAGCTTTCAAAGAATTTAAGGTGACCGCTGCACTGTGGTATCTAAAAGTGTAAAAAAAAAAAAATTTGCTAAATAGTCACCACTATTTTATTGCATTTGCTTCTACTTTCCATGTTATGTTTACCTCTTCTGGAATCAGCAGGTCACCCAAACAACTAACATATCTTTCATCCAAGTTAATCCTCAGTTGCTATCAAAACTTTAAGCACCGTTTTTCAAGTAAAGTTGGAAGGTATTCCATTAAGGATGTGAGAATGAAAGAAAAGAAAATGTTGTCATCTACAAGTACGAGAAATCAAGAGGACTATTAACTGTTAAATTTACAGATCTGAAATAGGTCATCACAGTTACCCATCAACTTATTAATCCAAACATGTTTCTTGACATCTTTCTGCTATCAGTCAGAAACGTGCCAACCTTCTTAAACTGACTCTACTAGTGAAGTTATGTTGCTTAAAATTTTTGGAAGTTAAGTGAAGTTGCTTCAAGAATTCTGTTGATAATTAATAACAAACTATAGGTTTAGCAGCCACCACTCACAAAAGCATCTTATGACAGAACTTCCATTTTAGGTAAGTAAATATATTAAAACTTAGCTATTAAATAGAAAATCGATCGACAGGGGTGCAACTAAATAATACAAGATAGAATTATGAACAAGGGTTTCAGCAACCTGCAATCAAACATAACTACGAGCAAAAATTTCTAAACCTTCAATTTTCCAAACTAATCCAATGAACCAGGTAGCAGAACAGCATAGAATAATATACATGAGTTCAAACTCCAAGACAAAGCATGAAATGCCCTGCAGGATTGGAATCAAAATCAAACATAAAGCATGAGTGCCGATAAAATAACCTGGCAAGACGGGTGTAGAAGAGCTGTTTCGCCAATTCATTACACTTCTCCACAGTAGGTGGCTCTTGAATGTATTGTTTATTCTGCTCCAACAACTGCTTGTAGTAAGCAGTTCCATGCTTTGCCATAAAATTTGAGGCTTGGCAAGCCTTGGCTTGCAATTGCTGTAGCTTGGATGCCATTAACTCGCAGAGCAACTTCTATACATAAAAAATAAAAAATAAAAAAAAAAAGAATTTTATATATATATATATAAATATGATATACAAGTTGTACACAATTGGGACAAAAGAGAATCAAGATCATTTAGAGGAGAAGGGTGACATGGAACACATCAACAAAGAGAAAAACTGCTAAAAATTAGTGCTAAAATTCATGACATTTTCATTTTGAAGAGCAGCTGGACTATCATTGTTATTTAGCCCCTGTTTGTTTTCCATTTTTCAGTAAGAATACATTTTGAAATAGTTAATTGATAAAGAGTGTGTAATTAAGAAATAAGAAAAAAATTTAGTTTTGCATGTAATATTATTTTATTGAAAAAAGTGTAGTTGAAAATAAAAAAATGGGTATCAAGCAAGGGCTTAATATTCTAGCCGCAAATAACCAGTAGGGCATGACCTGCTTGAGGTTTGACACTGTGCCATGCATGGAAGGGAGACAAGTGGCGAGCTTTCTCAACTTTGGCGAGAAGAAACATGCTTCGAGGATAAAATCATTAAGATAGCTAAGAAGTGTTTGTTTAGGAAACATTGCCCTTGTTTGAGCCCCATTCTTTTAGAAAAATTCATTTTTCAACAATTTTTTGACATCATTTCAACCACACATTCTTTAATAAAATAATATTACACGTAAATCCAAAGTTTTTCCTTATTTTTTAACCACACATTTCTCATCAATGCACTATTCAAAAATTCATTCTTCCCTAAAAAATGGGGCTCAAACAAAGGCATTATAAGTTATTTGTAGCTGATGATCTCAAAATCATACATTAATTTTACCCACAACTACTATTCACTTTTCCATTAGTCATTTTTATCACATTATTATTTCAGCAGCTTATAATTTTATCCAAACAAGCACTGTATTTGATATTTCAGAGATAAACAGACTAGCTTCTGTCACAATGGTATCATCTGCGTTTCTCTCTAACTGACCAAAAGACCTTATAATGCTTAATGAACCTATGACCACGGCATGTCTTCTTTTGATGGGTTATAAGCTCATAAAAAGAATTGGAAACAGAAGGAATGAAAAGCTAGTGCAGAAAAGTAACACAAACACCAGAATCTGGAGCCACAGAATTAAAGTTTGGCATGACTCTAAGATGCTCTTGCAACAGTCTAGAGGGATTAAAAAACCAAAACCTATACTATTCCTCTATAGTATATCATTTTAGAAGATTTTGCTTTTTCTAAGAATAAGACAGAATGTTGTGCATCCCTGATAATACCTAAACCTGTGAGGATAAAGAATTCTCTTCTCTTCTCTTCTCTTCTCTTCTTTTTCCCTGGCTCCTATCCTCTTCCAAAATTAGGATACCAAATGTGTACCAATGTCTAACTAGAGAAATTTGATTCTTCTAACCAAAAGTATTCCCAATAAAGCCATAAGTATAACCATAGGACAATAATAGATTTTCAAACTTATTAAACTACTTTCACCAGTTAGTGGGCTTACGGCACTCAGTCCCAGAGCAGATCTGACTTCGCCCCAAAAAACATTACAGATCAAGCAAAAATAAATCCCACCCCTTTGCTTTACTTTGGCTTGCCAAACTAAAGAAAACCCACCGCAAAATTGACTTCCCTTCAGACATTCCAGCATCACCTCATCATTGACAGTTTGACACCATGTACAGTTCCGTCACTCATTCCTGAGAACGAATGGGAGGATGAAGCACTCTCTTCTATTCTTTTTCCCTGGCTCCCAAATTCAGGATACCAAATGTGTACCCTGTCTAACTAGAGAAATTCGATTGTCCCCAAACATAATTCTTCTAACCAAAACTATTTCCAATGAAATAACCATAGGACAAAAAGAGATTTTCAAACTTATTAAACTACTTTCACCGGTTAGTGGGCTAACAATACTCAGCCACGGAACAGGTCTGACTTCATCTCCAAAACCACTACAGACCAAGCAAGAATCAACCCAACCCCTTGCTTTAATTTTACTTACCAAACTAAACAAAATCCAAATTTGATTTCCCTTATAAATTTCCAGCAGCACCTCATGGGGTCGCATGAAATTTGTTGTTAAAATTTAGAGTATGTCTGATAAAATTTATATGAAAATAATGAGTTATTGAATAATTTTTTTTGAAAAATGTATGATTAGAAAGTATGAAAACTTTATTAGTTTGTATGTAGAATATTTTATTACGTAAATGTGTGATAGAAAATGATCATGTAGCAAACAATTTAAATTTTTAAAGAATACAAATGGGGGTTTAATATTGGCTTTGAATTGAGATTTTAATTGAATTTTAGTCCAAAACAAACAGGGGCAGCCTCCCTCTGGGCTTCGTTTCTCTAGTTAGAATTAATAATGAGGAAATTAGTCTGGGTACTCTGAAAAAGTGGACAAATTAGATTTATACCTTAAAACAAATTAAAACATACTACAATCGTAATTAATACGCTCTCCCCAAAACCTCAATTTGAGGCCCAACTTGAAGCCCAAATAGTGTTATTCTACAACCTTCCCCTATCTCTCAAAACACTCTGTTTCTATAGTCTGTTTTCCACTGATTTCATCTCCATCTCCATCCGCTTCAGTCGTTTCTTCTTCGTCCGTTTTCACTACTTTCATCTCGGTGTCCCTTCTTCGTCATTTTTTCATCTTCTCCTTGTCTATTCGTGGATATTTTAAATATCAACCCAAAAAACCCCAAATCACAATCAGCAGCTTCTACCATCCTTTGAACATAGTGATTTTTTTTCACATGCAAAAGTCAATTATTGCTTCTATCTTGCGTGATTTTGTATGATTTTGTGTGAATGCATTCATGTGATTTAGCTGCTTGCTAGAGGAAAGACATCGCCGGCAAGTGGTCGGGAATATACCAGTAATGTGCCGTGAGTCACAATTAAATTTCTTTCTTTAGTTCATGTGATTCGGCAGCTTGCTAGAGAAAAGAGATTGTTGACAAGCTAGAATGTATTCAGAGTTTTTGGCGGCAGGCGAGTGTTGGGTGACGATGTGCAGTGAGTTCGTGGTGATAGAGGTGTGAGATTGTCTGTCAGTGGTAGCAATCAAAGGATGGTAGTTTGTTTTTGTAAACGCTACTATCAAACCATCATCACAATTTTTTCCTACAGCAAGCATATTAGCTTTTCGATCATCAACCATTAACACATCTTTTAGAGGAGGAACATGCATACAAATCATTGACTGAGTACGGATTAATTAATTATCTTTATTGTAAGATGCAAACGAAACAGATAATCGTAAGTTAACGATTAGGGATATATAATCTATTACATGTTTTGCATTTCTAGTTAGTACTCAATAGCTTTGAAACTATAAGCGTGTGTTTGATTATATTTATTTTCCATAGAAAATATCAATTTTCCACCCAAATTTTTACTTGGAGTGTTTGATTGCTATTTTTTTCCATGGAAAACATTTTTCAACTTTTGAAAATATGCCTAATTTTCCTTGTTTTTAAGGAAAATATTTTCCTTGGGTAGAGGTGGTTTTTATTTTCCACAAAAGATGGAAAATATTTTTTTTTCTAGGTAATATTTTTCATGCCAATCAAACACACTCTAAATGTATTATAATACAGTAAAACAAATATGTAATTACCTGATTGATTATTTGTTAGATTTCGGATTTCTGGTGGAATTGAGATGAATAATATGGACAAGAATGTAGGACCAAATTGATTATATATCCTTTTTGAAGTTGTTACTTTTTGAATTTAGGTCACTTTTTTGAATAGTGTGTCACTTTTACATCAACGAGTGTTTATAAAATTTTTTGACATTTACATCTTAGTTTAGACATCAATTTTCATTGGTTGTGAGCTTATTGAAAACTTGGGGCTAACAATACTCAGCCACGGAACAGGTCTGACTTCATCTCCAAAACCACTACAGACCAAGCAAGAATCAACCCAACCCCTTGCTTTAATTTTACTTACCAAACTAAACAAAATCCAAATTTGATTTCCCTTATAAATTTCCAGCAGCACCTCATGAAAAACACCACGTACAGTTTCATCTATAATTCCTAAGAACGAATTTTAAAGCATTCTACACATGTTTCGACTATACTTTAAAGTACTTCCCCACATTGAAAGCTAAAATTTGCCAAGAAGTGAACCATGCAAAAAGAATATTTAGAAAGCAGCAAAATATCAGCATCCAATTCAACGATTACAAACACCAAAAAAACAAGAACTAACCCAACGAGACACAATTATGTCTGGTTATACAATAGCATAGAAACGCCAGTTTTTAAGCTTATCACCTTATCCTCTGCACCTTACATCCGTCTCAGTCCACATCAGCTAAAAATTTGAACCAAAACCCCAGAATCTGGTCCTTCGTATAATCTTGGCAAACTGTTCCTCATTTTAAAAATGAAATCCTAACTCAAAAACTAAAACACGGGGATTTTACCAAGCGGATAAACCCAGGATGACCAGCAACATAACCGCCCAGTTTGTCAATTTTATGGGGAATTAATTTTAATGCCTCACTCTTTTATCTTGATAATAGAGCAAAAATATTCCCTTAGATATCACTTGCCTAGCGCAAGCCATTAGTACATTGGTTATAACATGTCAATCAAAATAGTGATGAAGGACTTTATTAACTCTACCTGGCGTAATTATCGTCCAGTGAAACTTTTTCTCTATAAATTGATGCTAATTCACACGACATTTTAATCTACTGTTATGCTCCTCGGATTTTTTTTAGTGTGTTTCAGCTATTTAATCAAACCAATAACACTCCAACATCTACGAAATGTAAGATAGTGAAAATGTTAAAATGAACATAGTTTTCTTCCTTCAATTACAAATAGAAAAGAAGAAAAATACTAGCATTTATTACCACAACAAAATTATTTTTAAAAGATAACAACTGCGCTTAAAAACTTGTATAATGTAAAGTACGTAACATTAATCTTATATATACATACACATATATATAACTAAATGTGAGTGATGACATCAAATTTAAAAACTGAAAATCACAAGCCATACAATAGATCTGACAACTCAATCAAAACCCCAGATACAATAAATTTTAAAGCTGACTATACAGTAGATATATTAAAAAAAGTAGGTTTCAATTACCTGCTTTTACCTTTCCCGTTGTTTTTGCAGAGAAAGTGTGATACTAAAACAATGGGCGAGGGTTTTTGCTGCTATTTGTTTCTTTAATGCGGAGAGAGTGTTTACTGAGGTGGGGAGAGAATTGAAGAGAACCTATCGCATTATTTTTGGCTCAAAAAGTAAATTTTAAAGTAAAAGATGTGTTTGCAGGAATTAAAATTAGATTTTTGGAAGAAATTTTTATAATGTTTGATTAAAAAGATGTGGGTCGCATGAAATTTGTTGTTAAAATTTAGAGTATGTCTGATAAAATTTATATGAAAATAATGAGTTATTGAATAATTTTTTTTGAAAAATGTATGATTAGAAAGTATGAAAACTTTATTAGTTTGTATGTAGAATATTTTATTACGTAAATGTGTGATAGAAAATGATCATGTAGCAAACAATTTAAATTTTTAAAGAATACAAATGGGGGTTTAATATTGGCTTTGAATTGAGATTTTAATTGAATTTTAGTCCAAAACAAACAGGGGCAGCCTCCCTCTGGGCTTCGTTTCTCTAGTTAGAATTAATAATGAGGAAATTAGTCTGGGTACTCTGAAAAAGTGGACAAATTAGATTTATACCTTAAAACAAATTAAAACTTATTACAATCGTAATTAATACGCTCTCCCCAAAACCTCAATTTGAGGCCCAACTTGAAGCCCAAATAGTGTTATTCTACAACCTTCCCCTATCTCTCAAAACACTCTGTTTCTATAGTCTGTTTTCCACTGATTTCATCTCCATCTCCATCCGCTTCAGTCGTTTCTTCTTCGTCCGTTTTCACTACTTTCATCTCGGTGTCCCTTCTTCGTCATTTTTTCATCTTCTCCTTGTCTATTCGTGGATATTTTAAATATCAACCCAAAAAACCCCAAATCACAATCAGCAGCTTCTACCATCCTTTGAACATAGTGATTTTTTTTCACATGCAAAAGTCAATTATTGCTTCTATCTTGCGTGATTTTGTATGATTTTGTGTGAATGCATTCATGTGATTTAGCTGCTTGCTAGAGGAAAGACATCGCCGGCAAGTGGTCGGGAATATACCAGTAATGTGCCGTGAGTCACAATTAAATTTCTTTCTTTAGTTCATGTGATTCGGCAGCTTGCTAGAGAAAAGAGATTGTTGACAAGCTAGAATGTATTCAGAGTTTTTGGCGGCAGGCGAGTGTTGGGTGACGATGTGCAGTGAGTTCGTGGTGATAGAGGTGTGAGATTGTCTGTCAGTGGTAGCAATCAAAGGATGGTAGTTTGTTTTTGTAAACGCTACTATCAAACCATCATCACAATTTTTTCCTACAGCAAGCATATTAGCTTTTCGATCATCAACCATTAACACATCTTTTAGAGGAGGAACATGCATACAAATCATTGACTGAGTACGGATTAATTAATTATCTTTATTGTAAGATGCAAACGAAACAGATAATCGTAAGTTAACGATTAGGGATATATAATCTATTACATGTTTTGCATTTCTAGTTAGTACTCAATAGCTTTGAAACTATAAGCGTGTGTTTGATTATATTTATTTTCCATAGAAAATATCAATTTTCCACCCAAATTTTTACTTGGAGTGTTTGATTGCTATTTTTTTCCATGGAAAACATTTTTCAACTTTTGAAAATATGCCTAATTTTCCTTGTTTTTAAGGAAAATATTTTCCTTGGGTAGAGGTGGTTTTTATTTTCCACAAAAGATGGAAAATATTTTTTTTTCTAGGTAATATTTTTCATGCCAATCAAACACACTCTAAATGTATTATAATACAGTAAAACAAATATGTAATTACCTGATTGATTATTTGTTAGATTTCGGATTTCTGGTGGAATTGAGATGAATAATATGGACAAGAATGTAGGACCAAATTGATTATATATCCTTTTTGAAGTTGTTACTTTTTGAATTTAGGTCACTTTTTTGAATAGTGTGTCACTTTTACATCAACGAGTGTTTATAAAATTTTTTGACATTTACATCTTAGTTTAGACATCAATTTTCATTGGTTGTGAGCTTATTGAAAACTTGGTTGTATTTTAATTTTTGAATTATGATTATATTGCTTAAGTTGTCAGTTCAAAAATTTTAATTCATTCATCCGACTTATTGGATAATTTGGCTATATTGAAAATTGTGGGTTATGATTCATCACTTTTTTTTTTTGGTCACTTTTTGCGTTTTTGCGTATTTGTCATTTTTTTAATCTATGTAAATTTTTTTTTTTATTTTTAAATTTGTGCAACTTTTTAAAATTTTTTGTCACTTTTTTTAAAGTCTTTGTCACCTTTTTTAGTCACCTTCTTGATTTCTATCACTTTTTATAGTGATAAATATCACTTTTTAATAAAAGTAACATTATATGTCTTTTTTTTAATAAAAAAGTAACACTTAACTTTTAAAAGTGACATTGATAAAAAAAAGTGACATAATTTTGTAAAAAAGTGACATTGTGTCACCTTTTTATATTATGCAGTATTTTTTACTTCTAAATTTTTTTTTCATATGATTTTTCAAAAGACCTTTAATTTTAAGGGTATTTTTGTAAGTTGCCCATTAATAATTCTAGTCTTGGTTTGAATTTCATTTTTAGTTGTTGAAAAGTTAATTTTAGTTAAATGTGTTAATTGGCCATTGAACTTTGCACTTTGTTATGGCTTACTCATGAAACTTCACAAAGTTCACCAACGGCCAATGAACTTAGGTTCGTTGCACTCCATCAATCATCGAATGAATTCCATCTCTAGTCATATCTACGTGGAAGACAGAATAATGAAGTTGTCGTTACAATTGTCCATTTGTTAAACCAAATGCACACATGGACTCCTCTTAAAAATTAGTGTATCATTTCCTAATGTTTGTTTACTGCAAATTCTTGTCATTTATTTCATTCTTCCATTCCTATTATTATGGGATAGAATAAGTCAACAGGAGGGTGCAAATAAGAGAGTATTTTACTCTATGCTGGTAAGATTTCATGCAAGTTGTTTGGGAGAGTTTGTTGTGTTTTTCAAGTCTATAAAATAGAACAAACTGATGTAACCATTTTAATGCTTCAATAATATGTTTGATTATTCTCTAATATCATCTTCTTTCTTAACTCTCTGTTCTCTGTTTTGCTTTATGGCATCAGAGCACTCTAATATTCTTTGTTATTCACTCTTCTTGTCTATCAAGTTTGTCTTGTTGAAGTCTGAAACTTGAAAAGGGAATTATTGTTATGTTATGGAGTTAATCAATGGGAAAAGCAGCTCCAACGCACAATATGGTATCGAGAAGCTTGTAGGCACAAACTACAAGCATTAGAGAATGTGCATGGAGGCTTATCTTTAAGGTCAAGACCTATGGGAACTAGTTTTTGGCTTCAATGCAGATATTTCAAATAACTCTCTTGATAATGCTGAACCACAAGGGAAATGGAAAGATCAAATGTAGAAAGGCCTTGTTTGCTTTGATCATGTTCGTGATGTAAGTTCGCTAACGGAGGTATGGTCGACTCTTGAAAGGTTATTTTTAAAGAAGAATACAGCAAGGCTGTAGTTCTTGGAAAATGAATTGGCAATGACGACACAAGGAGGTATTTCAGTTTCAGAATATTTTTTACGACTCAAGAACACCTATGCTTAAATTTCAGAGTTAGACACAGATGAGAAAATTAGTAAAGCTTTTTATGATGATTTTTCATTCATGATTTGAAGAAGGAATACTCGCCCTTTGCAACCACCATTCAAGGATGGGCAAGTCAGTCAACGGTTGAAGAATTAAAGAACTTGTTCTCTAATCAGGAGGCTTTGGCTAAACAAATGGTCAAGAATTTTAATTTAGAACATGATGCATTCTCTTCTCAAGAAGAAAATCTATTGAGAAAAATCCTTAAGAATGCATTATTTGGAAGAAGTTATAGGGTAGTCCACGAGGTAACTAGTTCACTAAATGTTACAGATGCAGCAAGATTGGTCAAATAAAGAAAAACTATTGTGTGAACCTCTCTAAAGCAAATATTGCTTGTGAAGATGAAGAAAATGATCAACTCAACTGGGAGCAATGCTTCACTAATGAAGTAATTAAAGGAATGGATAACATGACTTATAAACCAGTAACTAAACAAGCACTAGTTAATTACATTGACTACAAATGGGAGTGGATCACTGATTCTGATTGTTCACATCGCATAAGTAAAAATGATTAGTTATTTTCAGAGATGCGTCAACATGATGGAGAGCGAGTTATTTTCAGTGCTGATAACTCAACTTATCCTGAAATGAAAGGAGTGGTGAAGACTGGTGCTAATGATTGAAATATCAAGTTGAACGGTGTCTATCATGTTCCAAGTTTGAAGAAAAATTTAGTTTCAATTACTTAAATTACCAATTTTGGAAAATATGTTCTATTCGATCCAAAAAATGTTCAAGTGCTTGATAATGTAAGTAATATTGTAGCTGATGTTGCTCTCGTTGGTGAGAAGAAAGATTCCCTATTTGTCATGTCAGTAGAGGAGGCATATGTAATGAAGACGAGCCAAACAGACAATTCCACCATTTGGCATGCTCGACTAGGCCATCTAGGATATCAAATATTGCAGCATATATCTTCGAAGAAGTTGTTAGATGGCATACCAACTCTTAAAATTATAAACGAAGATGTAATTTGTCAAGGCTACCAATATGGAAAATCACATCGTCTTCCTTTCAAGAACTCATCTAATCGAAGTCGAGGCTATTCGAATTAATTCATATAGATTAGATAGGACCAAAAAAAACACCAAGTTATAGTGGTTCCCATGTCATGGTGCTGGTAGATTATATCCCAGACATACTTAGGTTTATTTTTTGAAAGAAAAGAGTGAAGCATTACACAAGTTCGTAGAATTCAACAGTACTATAAAGAAGGAGTTTGGATAGAAAATCAAATGCTTAAGGAGCGATAATGACAGTGAATTCATGTCAAATGATTTCTTTCAATATTGTGATAATAATGATATTCAATGGAAAATGACATATCCTAACACTACTTAGCAAGATGGAGTTGCGGAGAGGAAGTTGGCACATCTCACTTCGACAAGTCTTTCATGGCTACATAATAAGAACCTTCCTTGAAAGCTTTGGGCAGAAGCAATTCAATGTGCATGTCATGTGATAAACCGATTACCTCC